GGTGAGCAGTGGTCAGAGTGGTCAGCAGTGGTCAGTGTGGTTGGTGTTCCTCAGTGTGGCTTGTCTGGCTGCTCTTCCGTGTGCACCCCAAATGCGTCGGTTTCCATCCTGTGGTGATCACCATCTTCCTTGTCACCTCCTCCTGTCCTCCACAGACCCAGCTCTACACTTGAGGCTTTTGACTCGCAACTCCCTCCCTGCTCTAGAAGGATGGCGGTAGTCAGCGTTCTTAGTAGCGAGTTGTAGAATCCACCCTGGTAACTGCTGCAGAAGATTCTGCGCTCAGTTGTGAGTTCAGGGTGGACATCACCTGAAAGCCAAGCGCTGGGCTGTCAGCCACACTCTGCAGAAGGTGGGGAGCCCAGGAGGCCACGGTGAATGTGCAAATGGGCAGCTCGGAGCGGGGTCCGTCCCTGGGGTCAGGCCTGTGATGCACTTTGACTAATTCCCTGCCGTCTGTACTCTGGAAGTAAAAAGACAGTTTCTGACAATTACACATGCAACACAATGGCAGACTTTGATATTTCTCAAAAATAGTTTTGCAGAAAGGAAAGAATCACTTAGAGATAAAAGAAGTAGGGGGCTGGGGATTTAGCTCAGTGGCACAGCGCCTGCCTGGCAAGTGCGAGGTCATGAGTTCGATTCCTGGTACCAGAAAAAAAAACAAAAAAAAAGAAGTGGGAACAACATGAAAAGTGTCATTGATGGAAGATGTTAAGCACATCTAATGTTAGTCCAAAACCAAAAGCTTCATTAAAAATGAAAAAATGCAGTCAGTGAGAAATGCAGAGGCTCAAACCTTTCAGTCTGTTTACAAATATATTTATAGGAGCTCCTCACTGATCATTGCTATCTATCCTGCACCCATTCACATCACAGACACTTTATGTGAACACTGCGGAAAGAAGGCAGGGCGTGGGGATGATCCACCTGCACTGAGCCTCAGCCGCACTGGCTCATTTTTACTGTATTTTTTAGTGCCCGTCTGCATACGGAGGGATTACGTTTGTCGTGGGGAGTTCGTGTTGTGTGGGTGTCTGGCTGAGCAGGTGAGGGTATGGAGAGCATTTTACTCAGGATGCCACAGCAAAAACAAAACCCTCAAACCACAGCAATGAGGAACCTTAATGACGGGAGTATGGTGGGCATGTGGCAGGAATGCTTCCACCCAGAACCAAAACTAGAGTTACTTCTAATAGAAATTTGGAAAGTACTGTCTCTACGTCTTCTTGCTATATGGCATATGTTCATCTACATACACATACCTAAAACGTATGTATGCACATGTATATGAAGTATGTAGAAATGTGTACTATACGTTTATATGTTATATACTATAACTCATATGGATTACTATTTTCAGATATATAGATATATATAACTGGAGTTAAAAACGTCTGGCTTTTACAACAAAAATTTCACAAAATTCCTCTTGAAAATGAGACAGGATTTGTTTTTTGGTTGATGAACAGATTCTAGGAGTACTCACCACCTTTACTATCCAGCACTTGCTGGGCATCATAACTGCCAGTTACACGTACGTGAGCTCAGTCTCCAAGGCTTATAGGAACACCGGTGGTTTATCTCTCAAGAGGTGACAACAGGAGACATTTTTCTATCTTTGCAATGTTTGAGTGTGAAGATTATGACAGTGATAAGTATTTTTCTTGATGCTCGAAAATTTATTTTGACCTGTTTACTAAGACACAAGGAAATAGAGTGGTAGCTGGGTTTCTCTTTCCATCTAGGCCTTTTTTTTTTTTTTTTTTTTTTTTTTGATACAAAGACATTTTATTCTCAGTCATTTTCCCCTTGGCATTGGAGATTGAACTCAGGACTTTTGCAATGAACTATATACCTGACCTATTTTTAATTTTTTATTTTGAGACAGGATCTCTTGAAGTCACTAAATTGCCCAGGCTAGTCTTGAATTTGCAATCCTCCTCCCTCAGTCTCCCAGAGTCTTGGGATTACAGGTGTATGCCACCACACTTGGCTGGACTCTTTGCCATTATTAACATAAACTTTGGACAAGTTGCCCAACATGCTGGCACCCGAGCCCCCGTGGCTCAGTCACCCCTGGTGTCGTACAGTCACCAACCTCTGAGCAGAGGGAGTGGTGTGCTGTCGCCACTGCCCTCCTGGGTCAGTAGCAGGCTATGCCAGCTGCTGCCCACCTTCTCCCTGCCCTTCCGGTCCTGTCAAATTGTACTGAAAACTAGCTCTTACAATTATTTTTTCATGAATATATTTCTAGGAATGAGAAAATAATAAGGATTTTAATTTGGTGAAATTTTATTATGGGGGAATATTTTTTGAAGGACACATGTTAGAAATTGTCAAGAATAGATACATCAACAAACATAGGGCTTAAATTCAGAAGGAATTTCTGGGATAATGATATGATAAAGACCACACAAATTAAGGTGTTTTGTCAGGTGTTGTGCAGGCATTTATTCCCACAAACATCTTGTCAGATAGGTCTCACTACCCCATCTGATAGACAAAGCGACTGACGTTCATGGAAGTGAAGTCAGGTAGAAAGGGTTAATCGTTCTCAACCCTCAAAGACCCAGGGAATCCTTTTTTACAGAAAATAATTCATAATGACTCATTTTATGCCAAATCAAAATAGCATGCGATGTAATCTATCCATCTCGATATACATCTATATGAAGACCAATATAATGTTCCAAGTGTAATATAAAGAAGTAAAATTATTTTAATATGTATTTTACTATGCTGTGTGATCAAAATATACAGTGAATGTTTAAAAAACTACAGTAAAAGGCACATTACCATAAGCACACTCAAAGTACTGTCCCTCATTTCAAGCACACTTACACCAAGTGGCATCCTTGCCGCCTCCAGCAGCACTTCTGGAGTCCTCTTTCCTGAGTGTCTTTATGAGATGTGATTCAAAAAAACACAGTGGCTACTGCTGCCAAGCACCATCCAACGGAAAGGCAGCTCATAAAGACATGACACTGTGTGGTATTCACCAGATCTCATACCCTGAAACTTCTGGTTCTCCCACAAAGTCAAAATGACCACGAAAAGGAACCATTCTGAATCAATTCAGAGCATCAAGGCACCTTCGGCAGCACATGTAAAGACACTCAGGAGAGAGTTGTCAGAAAGTGGCCAGAATGACGGGGTAAGGGTGCTCAGAGCCAGGGGGAGGGTATCTAAGCAGATTCACAGCAGTGTGTCTTTGTGTCTTTCGCTCACACCTTGTCTGTAGGGCTCCAGTAAAATTACCCTGCAGTACGTAGTCTCGTAGACATAGACTTCCTCCTATTGGTAGAATTGGAAGCCATGAGACCATTTCAAATGCAGACTGATATAGCTCCTTTGATTCAAATATTTGAGTAGTTCTGACATTGGTGGTTAATTTCTCAAAGTGGAAAACTTTTCTTTGGATGAAGTTCTGAATAATAACTGCCAAAAAATGAAAAATTCTCCTTGATTAGTATTGACATACTACTTGGCTTCCAAGAAATGTCAGTGCCTAGTAAACCATGTAAAAGACTCGATGTTTCTCTGTAGGTCCTGAGATGAGATGATTTCCCATGGACATTACATCTTCATTAACGCCCAGTGGGACATTTTAATTTAGGCAGACTGTCCTGCATGTGGGGTGGTGTCTAAATCTCTGGTGTGGCCCATGGAATGCCCATACAACAGAAATGTCCCAGAAGTTGCTGGCATGCTCCATGCTGGAAACTCCTGCACGAAGTAGAAATATCAGAGCTAGGATGTGCAGGTCGGCACCTCTTACTCCAAGCCCTGTTCTTCCACCTGCTGCACTGTGCACCTCTCTTTGGCTGATGGAAATGGCATCACCATTTCTTAAATGGTCAGTTCTTAAATCAGTTTCAATCTCTGAACCCATTCTGCAGCCCAGAGAAGTCCATGGATGCCTTTTCAACAGTCTTTGTTTTTAATGCTTAAAATAAAATGCAGACTTGAAGATAAAATGAATTACACCGAGATATAGTTTTCACAGGGTAATGATAGAGATACGTAATATTTCAAGCTTCCTGACACTGGTAATGTTACCTATAAATGCCTCTGGTTTTGTTGATGACAAACTTCTGCTGTGATTGGCTTCCTATACTCAAAGCTGAAAAATATTAAGATGAAGTGTTTTTGTTTTGGCTTTATTTTAATTAAATAAGTTTGGGGATGCCCAGAGCTCATCCATCAACCTCAAGGTCCCTTTCTGGGGGAGGGTGGGGGGAGCATGGTGAACAGGGGGGAGTGAGGGCTGGTGGTGACCAGCTGGTGTGAAGGCAACAGGAAGCGTGACTCAGAGCAGGTGAAGAGCTGATTCTTGAAGGGTGATCAGTTAACAAGCAGAGAAGCTCAGAAAAGAGCGTATGCCGAAGCCGGCAGGTCAGGAGGGACCATAATATATGCTGCAATAGTAAGTTGTTTGCTGAAACCACGCAGGTAGAGGAAACCTAGAAATGGGAGTTTGCCTAAACTGTATTTTATTCTTAAAATCAGAATGATTTCACTCAATTGGTTTAACAGTATCTATGTGCATACTTGGGTTTTTCTTTTATGAAGCACTTACATTTTATTATCATTTTACACTCTATGAGGTCCAATTTCCCAGTGTCTGTTGTAACACAATTTGCTTTATCTTTTGGTGGAGAATTTTCCGAGTATGGGTGCACTGTCCGAGACCACTGCTGCACATAGGAAAGACTGGATAAGTAACAACACTCGAGTAGAGTCTGTGCCCCATATATGACTACATCTAATTCAGTCAAAAGAAACAGGACAGAAAAGGGGTGGTTTCTCCTCATTGACATTACTTAACAAATCCAGCTTTTCTTCACTATAGCTGTACAAGATATCTCCAGCAACCCATGGTGGGAAGGGGCCGGCGGGAAAGCGTTCTGGGAATGCAGTGTACACTCGCTTCGGGATCGCAGTGAGCATCCTTAGAGCTGTCCAGGGCTCACTAACTCACCACTGTGTGTTTCCAGCGAGTGCCATAACTCCACGGACCGGATCAAAGTCAGAGTGTGGGATGAAGATGACGACATCAAGTCCAGAGTGAAGCAGCACTTCAAGAAGGAGTCCGATGACTTCCTGGGACAAACGATTGTAGAAGTGAGGACCCTCAGTGGAGAGATGGATGTCTGGTACAACCTAGGTGATTTTGCATGCTGATTTATATATCCAGAATATCTGTGACATGCATAATATTTCTGTATAGGCCACAACAACCTATTCCTTTTTAGATCTTCTGTTAGACTTTTGGATGGGTTAGTTTCATTAGCAACTAAAGTGATTTTTTATTTGAATTTAGCATTATTGAAAAATATTTGGAGGTTCGAGATAGAAATTTAAAAAACTCAAAGAATCAGCTGGGCATCTTTTCAGAGAAAAGCATTTTATCAATGTTAATTTTTAGGTCACAGCAAATGGCTCCAAAATCCTTTGTCCAGTGTTCAAGAAAAAAAGAATCAAACTGTCACTTAATGTTGTTTGACTTGTTTTTTCCTGATCCATTAGTGGAATTCTGGGACTAACAGTGTATTCTGGATACACTGATGATGATATAGAGGTAGTCTTTGGTTGATGTGGCCAAGTATGCATGCGGCATACTGACAAGTGGTGATGAAGATACTGAGAATTGGATTGCTGGCATGATTTTCAGATGAAATGTTACTATGAAGACAGTATACAAATAAAGATAGGTTTTAATTTGACTGTTACTGGAATTAAATAATAACATACCATCCTCACTGGTGACTTAATAATAGTAAAAATATGAGCTGCCTCAGTGTCCCTAGAGGACATAGTCCAAACATGTCTTAGTCATATCTTCTGCAATGTTTTAATAAGGTCTCCAGGGCTGGCTGGTCAGACAGCAAAGAAGATTTGACACAGGCCCAGTACTAAGAGTGATGTTAGGGTACCAGGACACTTTAGCAAAGTAAAAAATTGCTTTTGGTATTTAAAACCTACACACTTCTGCTCATATAAGAGTTGATAGAGTAAAGGGAGAATTGACAAAACTCTACATCACGTAATAGTTTAAAGAAAGAGACAGATTTACCTTTTCTGGGCACCCACATTGCAAATGAGACTAGGAACTCATTACCAAATATATGTGAAGAAATCTTTAAAGAAAATTGCCACTCTGTGCTCGCTTCGGCAGCACATATACTAAAAAAAGAATATTATTGCTTTTACATAATTGGAGTAAAATTTTTAACCTAAGTTTCAATGAGCACCTGCCCACCTCTTGCTTAAATTATTAAATTGCTTTATATCTCAAAACAGAAATGTTTGTTGAGAGTAAACTTCAGGCCACTGACGTGCAACATCCACAAGTTATATTTTAATTAAAGAGGTTGCCCTGTACATGGAGGTTTTCCCCCTATAATACGTTAGCATATCCTTGAGTTGAGGCAGTGAAGTTACAGCTCAGAAGACAAATTCCTCAAAATTTTTTGATGACATTCATGAGTACAGTTTGCCATGCAACTAGAACTGGAATGTGCTACTAGGAAACAGTTCCCCGGCCGATTTCATATTGACACTCCCCTTTATCAGAGGAAGAGATGCACAGCATCCTAAGTCACCCGCAGGTGGAACCTTTCCGCCCTCATTGCTGATGTCTAACCTCCAGGAGAGGAGGTGGGGAAGGGGGAGGGGGGGGACAAACGGGAGAGGGAGGGAAACGTATTTCAGCTTTCTCAGCTCTGTGCAAACTCTCAGTTCGTCAGGCCTCTTGAATACCATGGTCTCATTCCTCCTCCTGCCCGCCTCCTTCCCTCAAACCAAGTAAGATTGGCCCAAATCTCTGGGTGTTCAGGCGGAGTCCACTCCCACAGGCCTGTTGGGATAAGGATAATGGAAACTCAAAGAGCCGGGAAGGCCCCCGAGCCCTGGGCAGCGGTGGGTGACAAGAAGATCCCAGGCCTGCTCTGCTCTTTGCCCCTCAGTGAGCTTCTGTTTTGTTGGGCATCAACTTTCACTCACCCAGGAGGACCAGCTCCCATGAGCCTGGCACTGCTGGGAGCAGGACCCTCACTGGCAGGACGGCAACACAGCAGGGGTAGGAAGTCACCCTACGTCAAACAGGGATGTGGCCTTCCTGATTTTGCTCTACCTCGTGTGGCTAAAAGTATAGCAGGGGATTTAGCTCAGCAGCAAAGCACCTGTCTGGCAAGCACAAGGTCGTGAGTTCGATTCCTGGTACTGGAGAAAAACAAAAAATAAATAAATAAATAAATAAATAAATATAAAAAGGGCCAATCACAGAAGTCTCCAGCACTGACACTGTCTTCTTTATTTAAACGCCATTGTTCCCGTGAAAGGGGCCAGCTTGCCTTGGTATATCCATTGGTGAAGTGTCCACTTGCCTTCACACTTGAGGAATTTTGTCAATTTAGGAATTTAGGCCTTCCCTTCAGTCCATCCTGGGCACACTCATGCACATGATATTTGGCTGAAATGTGACACATCAGTTCCACCCAAAGAAGTGATTAATCCAACACTTACAAATCAGTGCAGGTTACAGAACGCAGTTCCTGCAAATCACAGTAACCGATTTCTCATTATTAACCAGGGTGTCGGATCATCTTACAAGCTCAGGAAGAAGAAAATGAGGAGTGAGAGCTTTTAAATAAAATGCTTTTCTGTGAATTTTATACTCCAGTTATCTTGCTTTTAATTGCCAAATTATTTATTTAATTTGATTGTGTAAGCAGATCAAGTACATGGAAATTTCTATTAGAATGGCAAGCTCTTCTGACTAACTTTTTCTGTTTGAAATATCTATAAGGCATTGTCACAGTCACAAACGATACAAGCAAAGACGTAGGTCACGTCTCAGAGAATCACTGTTGCTCATCAAATCTGCCCTAGAAAAAGTGGGTTTTAGCCACATATGGCTTTTGAAGGGTTTGAGAATTGAGCAAGAGATATGGTCTTGTTGAAATGACTGACCCATACTCATTTGCCTTATCAGAGAAACGGACAGATAAATCAGCTGTATCTGGGGCCATTCGACTGAAAATCAATGTGGAAATAAAAGGAGAGGAGAAGGTTGCTCCATACCATATACAATATACATGTTTACATGAGGTAAATACATTGGATTTTATTAAAAATAAAACCTGGATAAAAAGGATACTGACTGTGGATCACGCAACAGAGCACTAAGTTGGGAAAACCGAGCAGTTGGATGTGTGGTGCTGGTACTGGAGTTCCGACTCCGGCTGCAGCAGGCAGTGCCCTGAGGTAGGAGAGATCCAATGTCTTGACCCTGAAAACCTTCCTAGGAGAGAGTTAAAACAAGGCAGGACAGAAAGTTAAAACAAGGCAGGACAGAAAGGCCCAACTTACTGGTCCCTTCAGCGCCTCAGGGAGACACGGACCAGTGACTGTGGGCTTCCATGGGTGCTTTGCCCCTGGGAGGTTACTTAGAGGCTCCCAGAAGGCTTTCTTTGACACTAATGACACTCCTCCTCTGTCGCTCAGGTGAAATGGGGGGCGAGGGGTGGATCTTTTCCATGCATTCAAAGAAATAAGGAGAAATTACCTTCGTAAAGGAAGCAGAAGGGCATTGAAAGATAGCTTTGCTTGTTTGCATATTGCTTTTCTCACATACATCTATATTTATAAAGGTTGTGCCTGTAAATATTTGGTATATATGAATATTCACACCCCATTTTACTATAGAAGAAATGAGAGATCTTGTTCCACATGCTACAGAGTGAGTGGCAGGGGGTAGGAGCTCATTTTAATTTCAGGACCAGAGTCTGGTCAGCAGCACCATTCCTTCAAAAAAAATGGTTCAGTTTTAAGCCAATAAGAAATCCCTTGGGTGGTCTGATGGGACTCTGGCTCTCTGGTGTGTGTGCAAAGACCAGGCCCTTGAGGAGCAGCATAGCACTTCACTTTTTGGTCTTTTCTGTTGATTCAAGATCCACCCTGTACCCAGGGACCAGCCCCTGGGGCTGGCAGGGAACAGCTCCAGGCTAATAAAGTTGAGAAACCAGAAAAAAAAAAAAAAGATCCAGAAGAGCTGAAATCCAAGGAAAGCTTCTTTGCTTGATCCAGGCTGCATGCACACTGCAGTTCCCAAACTTGTTAGAAGCAAGAAAAGATTTAGGGTAGTGATTTTTTTAATTACAAAAATCTCAAACATTTATTTTCAACCTCGTTTCATTGCCCTAACTCTTACCTCTTTGCAGCTAAAGCCCATTAGTATCATTTATGAAACAAAATTCTGTATTATCATAGCCAATATTACCTTGTTTGTCCAGGACAATGTAATTTATTCAGAGCCGTGAATGCAGAAAATGTTTACATGTAAACAGTTTTTCTCCTGAAATGGTTGGGTCTGTATAAAACATTTGAGCGGTTGACTCTGTGTAACCTGGACAAAAGTCAAAGCAGATTTTGCATAATAAGTGAAGGGAACTGCACTGAGATCCAAGATCGTCCCATTGCTTTAGGTCTAAGGAAACACGAGCAGTGAAAGTGCTGCAGGCGTGTTTTGCTGAAAGTTAGAGGTGACCATGTCTCACTTACTCTGAGGAATCACTGAACAGTGGAAACCACTTGCTTCTAGAATCTCTTCCATTACTTGACGGAAGTGAAATCTAATGGTGGCGTGAAAATCCCAGAGGTCAAAGGAGATGAAGCCTGGAAAGTCTTCTTTGATGATGCTTCCCAGGAAATAGTCGATGAGTTTGCCATGCGGTACGGGATCGAATCCATTTATCAAGCCATGACGTAAGTACTGGAGAACACTTGCTGGGTGGAGTGTCACTCTGGGCATCATGGACATATCTGTTTCAAAAGAAAAGATGGTTGTTGAAAATTATACTAACAAATGCAACAAAAAAATTACCCACCAATGTGGAAATACTTACATTATAGTAAACATAACATAGACTATTACTCAGCAATCTTAAATGTTCATAAAATAAAAGTTGTTGGAGCTCACTGTGTATCAAAATTGTATAAATATAATTAAGGTCATATTGAAAAGAATTTAAGAGAAAGTTCCATATACCAAAATGTCAACAAAACAGTGATTCCTTGGTTTACAAATTTACAGTCATTTGTTTTATGATTGGGGGACGATGGCTGTGTTTGTGTTTGTGTGGGAAGATGGCCATCGTCATGTTTTCACCCATGTGCAGTTTGAGAATGGAAGCGAAATTTTGCCAAATGCTTTTGTTTGCAAACTGAATTGTTTGCAAACAGAAGCATTCACGAACTGAGTTCTTATTGTAGTTACTGCTCCATGATTAATATTAAAGGTATTTCTTCTTAGCCTACAAAAACAAAATCTAAAGAAAGAAATAGCATTCATCTTCATGCAAGGGAAACTTTGATTAAAAATGATTGCATCTTATTGAGCATGTTTGATGCTGGCTGCCTTCCCCAAGGCTTAAGGATTTGAGAATTCAAGGCCACCTCTTCCCACTCCCTTTCCTGGTAAGCAGCACCTGGAAACTTAGAAATCCAAATTCTCTGCCTGACCCTGAGATGGAGCCCAGTGATTCTGTACTGTGAAGTTTGAGAACTAACCTCTTATGAATGTCTGAGGACACCAAGAACCTGCCTTGGCCATAGTCACACAGCTGGTTAGTGTTACACACATCCTGAGCTACTGTCCTCTCCCATCCCCAATATTAGACTGAGTCCCCTTTCCTTCTATATTTACATTAGCACTGCTGTTTCAGTAAAACAAACATCCCTATAGCACTGATAGGGACAATATTGCCCTAAACATGGTGTCACAGAATTGGCTTCCTGGGACATGGGATTCTCAAGATCTCAAGATCTCAAGATCTCAAGATCTCAAGATCTCAAGATCTCAAGATCTCAGGATCTCAAGATCAGGACTCAGACCTGGGTCTTTAGCACCCCTCAGTTTGCATTCTGAGATGTGGTCTAAGTTTGTAAGAGCCTTTGGTTCATGCATGTGCCACCTACAACATGCAAACCACTTCTATGCATACAGCAGAGGACTTTTCTGTAGCATGGCTAACAGGGTCATATTTTCATGTGGGTTGAAGAGATGCTGACCCAGATAATCAGTTTTGCCAGTCATGGTGATGGACGTCAGCTGGCCCCAGGCCAGTGCTTCTTGTCAAAGTTTAGCGCTCATAACATTTAATCACTAGTTGTAGTTTATAGCAGCATGATTTAAGGATAAATGAGTTTTTGAAGTTCCTGATAAAGTGTGCACTTCTTCAGCTTATAGAATGACCTGATGCTAACTAATAAAAATATACAGATCCTCAGACACAAAAAAGACCTTAGAGGCCACCCAATTAAACTGCCTCCCAAGCTGGATGTACTGAACAGTGTTCCTCAGCCCCCCACCTGCCGCGCCCCACCCCACTCCAACCCCCCTACACCTGGCTCCCTGTCCTGGTGACTTGAGCCGTAACTTCCAGTAACAGAGGAGCAGGGCTCTGCATCTGCTTGTCTCTGCCAAACGCCTTAACTCAGTGAACACCTAGCGTATTGTTCAACTGCAATTAAAACTCGAGGATGATCAGCATAGAAGGCAAATGAACTGCTCCACCCAAGTAAAGCCCAGTTAGAGCAGTCAGAACCACCTGCCTTCAGAGAGAACCCAGTGACAGAAGGACCAAACTGAACCTCCACCCAGCTCTCTCTCTGGGTGCACGTCTCTTCACTTCTGTCTTCTATATTCTGAGAAGCAGTCATGTAACACAGAAAACTGGTAAGAATACGGTAGTCGAAAGGGAATTCGCTCTCTTTCATTTTATTGCATCATTCATTTCCCTTGCCTCTCAATTTAAGTAAACAATAAGGATAAATGAAAATGCGGGGACATATTTGATCTTAAGCGACACGCAGGTAAATTTGGTCTTATCATCTTTCTAAAATTCAGGTTTGACAAAGCCCCTGTTCATACTAGATAATAGTCTAAAATGGATCAGTGCCAAAATGTTTCTCTATAAATGGTAAGATAGTATAGATCAGTGTAGCATAGTATGGGACCTTTTGTGACCCTAACTTCTGTCACAGTTGCTCAACTGTGCAGTCTGTACCAAGCAGCTGTAGATGTAAGAAAACACGTGGACGTGACTATGTTCTCATGAAACTCTCAAAACTCAAATGCTGTGGTCCAGATTTGGCTTAAGGGCTGTAGATTGCCAACCACTGATCTACAGAGTGAAAACAGAGACACAGAGAGAGAAAAACAATGCCTTGGGTTTTGGAGGGGAGGGAATTGTCTTGGTTACTTTTTCCTCACTGCTGAGACAAAATACCTGACACTCAAATTAAAGGAAGGAGAGGTTTATTTAGCTCACGATTTGTGGAGGTTTCAGTCCATACTCAGCTGGCTCCAAGGCAGGGTGGCACACAGCAGAGAGTAACTGTTCATGGTGGTGGAAGATAGCAAAAAGGAGGAGCAGTGGCAAGCAGCTTCTTTCCCTCCCTTATGTTGTATGCAAATGACCTGCCCTGGGCAGGTGTAGCACTCACACCGTGAATCAGTCATAACTCTAGAAGCCGCCCCTGGCTGCACGAGGCTTTGGGGAGACATTCAGACACAAACCATAATGAATACATTTCAGTGATAACACAATGTACTAGATTATTTGTGCATTTGGGTATGCATTGAATTTGGTAGAATGACTCAGAAGTAGTTGTTTATTATATTTATCTGAAGTGGCATAGCTATGGATGTAAGAGGTTGATAGTTGAAAATAGATAAACAGATAAAGTAGAAATGAAATGTTTAATTAAACTGATATAGGTATCTGTTTCACTACTGATGTTGATTGATCACACTGATCATTTCTAATAATTTGGAGAAGTTTCATATGCCGGCATTTTGGGAAGAATAGTTGAAATAATGACTTTCAAAGATAGTTTTAATCATGTTTTCAAAATGATACTTCTCCAATTAACTGCAGCTTGATTCACAACTGTCATAGTTACTTTTCTCATTGCTGAAACAAAATACCTGACACCCAGAGTTAGAGGAGGAGAGGTGCTGTAGCTCATAGTTCGTAGATTTTTCAGTTCATAGTTGGCTGGCTCCAAGGCAGGATGGCATCGCAGAGGGGCAGCACAGAGGAGAAACAGTTCATGGGAGGCAGAAAGCAGCAAAAGCAGCAAGTGACAAGCAGTGACCCGCTTTCTGTCCCTTATATTCTACCCCTAAGGATGGGTAGCACTCACATCCAGGGTGAGGCACCCGTAATCCTACTCAGCTATGCCAAACCTATCAGTGGATTAATTTAGTAATCACACACCCTCGAGCCCAGCATCACACATTTAATCCCAGCATGACATGCTCTAGACCCAGCCACCTCTCAGAAGCTCCACCTATGACCACATGAGACTTTGGGGCGGGGGGGGACATCTAGACACAAACCACAACACTAACCTGTCACTGGCTGACCCATAATAACTGGAAAGGGGTAGTTAATGAATAAATCTGCCTTTGATTTTAAACTGGTTAACTACTGAATCTGTATTCTTCTGTTATTTTGAAACCTTACTTCAGGAAACAAAAAAAATCAAAAGCCAGAAAATTAACCAGCTAACAGAAAACCATAGAACAGGTATTTCAAGCTACATCAGAATTACCTCCTCTTGATTTTTAACAAGGTAAGATTGAGAACTCTGTGTCCAGGAAGAAAGGATGTCTTATCTATTTAGTCAGGACACACAAGTTTGGGAAAGAAAAATAAAACTGCATAATTCTTGTAGATATTCCTAGGTAAACCATTTGAAGAAAAATAAATTACAGTTTCTTTTGCTACTTAAAGATGCTGTGTACTTAGCCAAATCCGCAGGCAACTCGACACTTCCTTGTACTAGAGTTTGACTGGTTTCTCTTAAGTACATTCCCATTTCTTTGAAGATAGGTCTGCAGAAGAAATAAATAAGGGGAGCTGTGTATTAAGTCAGAGAGTCTGGTTGTGCAGCATTTGACTTTTTTGTTGTGTATTCCCCATCGTACAAAGGAAGCTGAATCTGTTTTGCTGGTAAATAACCTGAACATTAAGAATCAACTTCCCGGTCCTCCAAGGCACCTCCTGCTTACTGTAAATGCAATACCCTCTCACCAGACTTTCCTAAAGGGGCACGCTCACAGTCTCTCTCTTGCAGAGCAGTGTGTCTATCCTGAGTGGAATTCCTTATATATATTTTTGTATTATTACCTTATGAAATGTGCACTTTGCTGTTATTTTTTTCCCATTCTATGGTTCTGCAGACTGTCTTTTCACTTACTGCATCCTTTGCTAGGCAAAAGAATTTTAGTTTAGTGTAATGTTATTTGTCTATTTTTGCTTTTGTTCCCTGTTTTGGGGGGGTTCAATAAAAAAAATCATTGGCCAGATCAATGTCACAGAGCTTTTCCTCTGTTTTCTTCTAGTGGTTTCCTAGTTTGTGGTCTTTGATTTGAAGGATTAATCCATTCAAGTTGATCTTTGCATGTAATGTGAGACCAGGGTCCAGCTTCGTCCTCCTGTATGTTGAATACCCAATTTTCCCGGCATATTTATTGAAAAGACTTTCTTCTCTTTATGTGTTTTTGGCACTTCGTTGAGAATCAGTTGGCTGTAACGTGTGGATTTATCTCTGGGCTCCCTGCTCTCTTTCACTGGCCTATTTGTCTGTTTTTCTGTCAGCCACATGCTTCATTATTCACAATTTAAGCCTCATTTTGGGGAGAGTTTGTTATGCTAGCTTTTCCAGCATTCCATCTGTTAAATTGTTTTGAAACT